GCAGATACTAGAAGTCATTGTATGACAATGATTTTGAGTTCAATGTAATTAGTTGTGGATCTTAATTTTAACAACTAAAGTTTGATTGGGTAATTTTTAAAATGATTTAGATTGTAAAAACGATTAAATTGTAAAAAGTTACTGATTCTTAGCAATTTTTAAATATAATCAAGGTCCCCGGTTCGAACCTGAGAAAAGTCAGTACTTTTTAATGGTTCGAAATTCTACCCAGCTGTCCCTGACCCAGCTTTAAATAAATGCTCCTGGCTAATTAAATACTTTATTTTAGGCAGTAACAACGCTACACAGATCATCTCACTCCATTATTACATTGTTTACCGGGAGAGGCTTATTTAATGAAAAACTAATTAGGTTTTTTTACTGAAGATGAATTATATACCTTTGAATATTAATACAATTATACATTCCATCCCCATGTTAAAGTTGTCACCCGTTTTATTTTTAAATCACGTGGCCACCAACAGATTGTGCTGATTTAAATGACTGATTTCTGTCGAATACACAAACTTGTTTACCAAGTCAAACTGATGGAACGACTTATTGTGAGCTATAGCATTGGCTTTATGGCTATACAAACTGTTATAACCCATCAACTTGGGTAGCAACAAAAATAAGACAGAAAATAGAATTCTAGACACTTATGCATTCTGTAACTGGTTCACACAACTACATGTTCTTAAAAAAAAAAAAAAAAAAAAAAAATTGGCGAGAGCTTGTCCATGTGGATGGGACGCCTACTTCAGTATTCAATAGTCAATGATAATACTTAGGTCTGCTCTTAAATATATCGTACAACTTATTCCCAACGGTAAAAAAACATTGCAGCTCTAAATCTAACATTTACTTTCCAGAGAGTAAACGGGCGGGAATGAGGAACCAAGCGATACCAATTAACGAACATTTTCAAACTCCACGGTTACTTGATCAATGCTAAACGAACATTAAAGAGGATTTAAATAAAAGCTAAACCAGACTTTCGCATTTACTTTCACTGAGAAATTTCACGTTTTTTACTTCATGTTGGCGAATGCGATTTTAATCGGAATTTTAAGCCAGAGGAAATGAGTTAGTCGTACAGCAATGTTAATTAATAACGGTGAGTGTAATACCGTGTCCGTTAGCGTGATAACTGGTGCAAATGCCATTTTTAGCGAATTTCCCTATAGGGAAGTAGCTATTACCGTAGGTGGCACGGTAAGACCTAGACCCGGGACCGATTTACTTTTTCATTTTTATGTCCCCAGAGGCCAAAAACACCATTCGTTCAAATTTATATATATATATATATATATATATATATATATATATATATATATATACGTCCGTGAACGCGATAACTTGAGTAATTTTTGTCCGATTTTGATGAAATTTGGTTTAAAGGTGTAAAGCGGGATAAACTTGAATGAGTTCGCGAACCAGCACGATCGGACCATGGGAACGGGGCTTTACGGGGGGTTTTATGGGGCAAAAATTGGTTTTTCTCACTTTTGACCCTCAAAACACAAAATTTCCCGATTTCTCTTTAGACCTTTTTAAAGAGCTTAAAAAAACAAATAATTTAGTTTATAAATTTATTTTTGCTCGATTGTTAGTAACGGAGATAATTAAAAAAATTTTAAATTTAAAATTCCCATGTTATTCTTATGGAGAATATTGTCAAATGTTGTAGTTTGCTTGTTTATGGATATATTTTGATCAAACTTGGCAAATTTATTTATTTTTACTAAGTTATCAATATTTTACTCAAAAACACACTTTATTAGTTTCCTTGTAGCAGCAAACCTAGGTACTCGTTAAACCTAATGTTATCAAAATATATTTAACTGAAAATCAATTCAGACAAATGGAAATTCGCTTAGTCGGCAGGTTTGCTGCGGCGGGGGTATTTATTAAATTTAGTACAAACGTGAAAAGCCTCACATAGGTTTCGAAAACCAGCATGATCGGACCATGGGAACAGGGCGTTATGGGGTGATTTTCTTTTTGTACTAGGACGCTAGGCGTGCGTGGGCTCGTGAGCCCGGGATCTTCAGGCTAGACCTAGGGGTTGTGGCAATATCACTTAGATAGAATCCACTAGACCAGCTCGCTCCCCCAATGGGGTGAAAATAGGTTTGTCTCATTTTGACCCTCAAAACACAACATTTCCTAATTTCCTTTTAGCCATTTAGTAGAGATTATAAAACCAAAACAAATAGTACAGTACTGTACTTTGAAGTGCTTTCTACGGAGAAAACTTAAAATATTGTTAATTTTACATTCCCATGTCATTCTTATGGAGAAGAAAAAACTGTTGTGGTTTGTTTGTTTACGGATATATATATATTGATCAAACTTTGCAGTTGTGTTCTATTTTATACTAAGCTGTAAATACTAAACTAAAACACACATTTGTTAATACCCTCCCTGTGGCAGCAAACCTAAGTACTAATTCAACGTAGTGTTTTTAAAATATGATCAATCTGGCATGCATACGGGAATATTTAAGTGAAAATCCAATGTGAGAAATGGAAATTCGCTTAGTCTGCAGGTTAGCTGCGGTGGGCGTATTTTAATTAGCAATAGCGCTGATGAACCCGACGATTTTAATAAATTCCTTCAAGTTGGTCAAATACAAAATATTATTTATTCTAGTTTCATCGTTGACGTTTGTTTGCTTGGGCAGACCGTCGACAGTATTTATAAAACTTAGTGAATCAGACAAAGCCGGTCGTTTTCGTCTTCTTGGAAGCTCCAACTTCCCTTTGAAGCGCCGGTAACCAACGAGATGATGAAAACTGTGTTTTTAATTCACTTATTTGTTCAAAACTTACTGTTGTTGACTTTGTAATTATTTTGTTAAGATTATTGTTGTTGACATACGCTTTTGTGTAGGTTGACAAAGCGTGTTATCTGCTTTATCTTATTTGCATGGCTTAACCTATTTGCATGCTAGGGGACTTGTAGTCGAGTGTAAAGTTCGTGTTAATGTTGAGTACAGGATTATTTTATTTCGAAGAATCCCGAGAACCACGTTCTTTCTAAAAACATAAATTATGTTTTGTATTTCATTTTAATGCAATTCTGACCAGATTAAATTGTAACTTATGTCAAACAATCCCAAGTTTTATTTCACCTCGCTGCAGCTGGTAGACTGAAATTATGACAGTTTTAATCTGAACCATTGAAATAAGGTTCTTGTCTTTTCGTTTTAACACGCAACCCCACCGAAATAAGTAACAGTTGGAAAAAGACTACGTGCGGAGTGTTAAGTTGCATAATATTGTTCTTTCGACTTACCTCCGAAAAAGGTTTTGGAAAGTAAATATTGATTGGTTTCCCTATTTAAAAAATGTAATTATAATGTTATAGGTACTGTTATGATTTGTTAAGATTCACTGATGCTCAATAGCTTTATAAAATGCCTGTTTGTTTATTGTTTGCTGTCAGTTCTGTAGTTTCAACGAATAGACTTCAGTTCAACATTATTACGTGATGTACAACACACGCCTTTAAATAATTGTCGAATTATTGGTCATGTCGTCCAACTAGTAAAAATAACTTTCAAACTGGATAACTTCGGTTGCTGCAATTTAGCCAAAACGTCGACCAGTTGGCTATGTCAACAAGATTAACGACACTCTCTCGTACTGAAGCTAAGAAATTATTAATGTTCCAACATATTCAGTGTTCAAATTATGTTTTCTTACAGTTACCTGACAAAGTGGACTTTCTTGTACTGAATATAGCACGCAAAGTTGCAAATCGCTGCATTTATCTACTTTTGCTACACTCATTTCACTTTTGCCGCACAATTTCTTTACACGCACTCCAGTATTCCAACCAAACAACACGAAAAAGTGTGCTTTTATTAGACGAGTAGTACGTAATATGTGTGTACGCTTGATAATATTTCGTTGAATGTTTGGATTTAACCTAACCTAAAAACGTGCTATACAGTGTTTGAAAGACTAATTATTTATATGATTTATAGTAACTGTAGGAATAACATAATGTGTTACACGTGTGCACGCATCGCCCACTAGTTACATAAATAACTACTGTACTGTAATTTAATGCCTTGGGTAATTTTTTGCCGTGTTAGAACCATGTTTCAATCCAAACCTGTGATTTTCTTCTACAATGTTAGTACAGTAGTTTGTTCACCAGCTGTGGCGTAGTGACCTTCCACAACCGCGTACTGTATCTCAGAGTCGCCTCCCTTGCATGGGTCAAATAACGGCGGGAACTTTCACTATTCAATTTCCTTAGGAATCCACCAATACGAGCGTACCCCATCATGTACACCTGTTCAAATAACGTGCCATACGTGCTACCATGGACATTAGAAGAGAAACGGTATTGGTCATTTAACAAACAAATTACGCCACTGGTCCAAAAGTAAACATGTTTGTATTATTAGTTGATGGAACTTTCAAATAGATCCTGACCAGATGTTAAGGTTATTCTATGTTCTAATATACGTGTGTATCGGTTTTCGCAATATTTTGTAACTTTAGCCTTCCGTAATACTGTAACAAGGTTTGGCCTGATTTCGAGTCAGGTTGTTGTATTATTAACAAAATTTGCATTGTATTTGTAATGAAAACAAAGTGCCAATTTCAATTGACACTGCAGAATCATGTATTTATCGGTTTACGTGTAAATATGCTAAGTACTTAATGTAAAATTTATTTGTTTACAACGGCTTTTTACCTGATAAGCCTCGCTTCAATTTTATCGTATAATCATACGATTTTAAGTTTTTTAACTTAATTCCCCTGAAATTCTTTAACAAGCAAAAATATTACCAAAGTTCATGTAAACTTTCTCCAATACTATTTCCAAGCATAAGTTGAGGTACTATCGGGATTCTTCAAAATACGTCTAGTGGAGGAATATAAAAAGGGACTCTACTTTGGGGTTGAATATTTTGTGGTATTCTCGAAATATTACCAAATAATGTCGTCAGCAATTTCTTATAATCTATTTGTTTACAGTTGGTGCGTTGTCGTGGCGTACTAGCCTGTGAGATGTCATGTTGTCGTCGCTGACGCTCGTGCTGCCGCTGCTGCTGCTAACTGCAGGGTGTGTCGCATTTCAGTGTTCTACCTCCCCCTTCTCTCAGCAGGTAAGACCAAACAACCTTGCTTTAATAAGTTATCAAAACAATTACTTGCTTATTAGTTGTCAAATCGGTATTTGAGGGATTATTCCGGACATTTTCCATTACGTTTAGTGAAAAAATATGCTTTCACGACGTTTCGTGACCTGGAATCTGATCCCGTCCTCAGGTGGGAAACATAACAAGATTAGTAAACAAACTATTTAGAACTGGAAAATCACACAGAAAACTCTATAGTACCTATTCAGAACAGCATGCAAACATTACAATGAAACTTGCATTTGTCATCGTGTAAAATGTAACTTCAAACAAATAATGATTGAATAGTGAACTATGATAGAAGGTATTTGAGTTTTTTTAGGTATCAAAATTTAACCAAGCTGACATAGCTGTATGGAATTAACGATCTTCGCATACGATTCACTTAAGTCATAGACAAATTACTGCACAGTACAAAGTAAATTCTGTGTGGCTGTTATCGTATTGAAAACGATTAAAATGCTACATGTACGACCTGTTGATTTTGACAGTTTCACACTCTTGCAAGATAAACTCAATTCTTCAAAAATACTATATTTATATACAAATTATGTATCAACCCAACCGGTAAATTGATATACTTATCAAGACTTCTCGTCCTTTATTCATACTTCGTCTCTAAGAACAACTTTCTTGGTTATTCAAGTGCTCCATTATTTTGTCCTTTCAGTCAATCGTATTGGTTCATTTCGTGATGTCAGTCTTGTTATTTGTGACAACCATGGAAAGAGATGTTAAACTCTGTACCTGATGATCGGAAAGTTGTAACATTAGTTGGTTTCTTTTTTCGCCAAATCAGAAACATACATTTGGACCAGCATTTGGACACCATAAAAGGGCGTGTACCGTAATTCAACAAAGAATTAATGTACTTAAGTCCTTGATTGGTATAAATTATCACAAGAATACCTTGAATCATGTTTCAGCTCCTTGAAAGGCCATTCCAACTCTAGTAGATATAATACAATACAGGTTTACTTAAAAAAATCCACAGTGGTAAATGTTTTCATTTCGAGTGATCGATCTTGACAGCAATTATATAGAACTGCTTTTTCTTGTATCGCCGTTTGTGGCATTCTAGGCACGACGAACGCTAAGACCGCTGTTTGTAAATGGCAAGTGTGTAGCCTCTGTAGACCTAATTACTGACTGCAATGTGGTTGCTAAATGAGTCGTCTAGCCAGTTTTCCTTTTCAAAAGGGGTAGTCTACATGTCAACCAAGATGTAGATGATTACTATATTCCGTATGATGGAAACTCAGACTCCTACTTGGGGCTGGCTCGGGCTACACCAAAGTCAAGGAGGTAGGTTCCATCATACAGAGTATAGTAGTATTATTGCCTGAGATATGTCAAAAAAACAGCTCGTATAATGGATAGTGCAAAGATTCTATATGTTGAAGAGGACTAAATTTTTTTAACAGCTCATTACACTCTGAAACGTTACGGTCACGACCACGTGCTGAGGATTATGGTTCAGGTCCTGTCAATCGTCAATAGATTTGGATGTCTTAATTCTATGATTCTTTAGTGTTTGGAGTGGCTACCTTTCTGTTAGTCGGAAGAAATATCTTTTTTGACGACTCCTTAACGAAATCACTAAAATTTCTGTCCTACAAGGAAATAATATATATTTAAATAATATATTTAAATAATGATTAGTTTAATTTAACTTAATTGCCATTTCATTATGTTTCAATATTTTTTCTAGCATTTTTGCGTTTTGCTCACCGCCAACATACGTTAACACGTTCCTTGAAAGTCACTAATTTACTCCAGTGTGTATGTTTGTGTGAAAATACAAAATGTTTCTTGTGTTATCCTAAAAAAATGAAAGAACTTAGTTTCATCGCACATCTCTATCTCATCACTTTATCCGCTCTTTCATAAGCCATTAAACCATATCCCTTATAAGGGGTTTCTCTTATTTACAACCTCTTCGTCATCTAAGACTATCGTTGTTGCAGCTAACTCTACCACAGCTGACGTAATTGTACAGTATCTAATAACATTTTCATTCCATCATTATTTATAAAAGCATGACTGTATTACTGTACAAAGACTGTCTGAAATCAACTGACGGACAGTTGACTGGCGAATGTCGGATGCAAACGTGAATCTGATTAATCTGAATCGATCTTACAATAAAACTTAGTCGGTAACAAAGGCACAAAATTCATCATAAAAATGACCCCACACATATCGTCTCATGACAGTGATGTAGTAACATCTACAAATACAGTATTAAGAGTGGAAAACACTTAAAATAGTTTTTGTAACACCAACTATATATTGCATGTCTGATAAAGAATGAAACTTCAAACCCTTAAACGACTTTCCACTATAAACCTTACATTTTCGCAATCCTCGTTTAGATAGACGAAAAACGTGCGCGTAGTACGAACTCCCACCACGAATTGAATAGACTATCATTGTCAAAATGGCACAAACATGTCTTTGACGGAGTAAGAAGTTTACTTTAATGCTTGCTCACCGCTAACTAGTGGGTCATCACCGTCATTACTCAACAAAATACAGTACGCCTAATCTTCAAGGCGGCCATGCCACTCTACCGAGGTCACCAGCATGGATGGTTTGCTGTCCTAGAATACAATTTAAACAGTAAACCAGTGGGAAGGACTAGTGTTGTGCACTGATAGTCCGCATGAACTTGAATGAAAACTTATATTGTTTTGAGTGTTCAATCTAGTATTAATCTCTATTAAACCCAGTGTGACTTATGCATAAAACTATTATAAGGTAGAGGTGTGGGGGTAAAAGTTGAGTTAGTTTCACATGGCGTTTTATCTTTCACAAACCAAAATTAAACAATTTCGTGTACATGTAAGTATTACAAGTACGATCACAAGAATGAGCCAGTGACGTTGGAAAAATTATAATTTATCATTCAAACTTTCAAAATCATGTAATTGGAATTATGAACACATTAAAAACCCGTTAGTCCCTATACTCTCCTTATTAAAAAATATGCTTCTTTTTGAAGTCCAAATTCCATTAACAATCCTACTGAGGCAGCATAAAAAAAGATAAAAATCCATTCCATACTCTTGCACAAACACCGAAGTAACGTGAGACGAACAAAGAAATTCGCTATATCTAAGGTTTATAACTGAAAATAAAGGAAGAAGTTATAGGTACTTTGAAAAGTAAATAATTACTTTGTCTTAACTTAGGCCTAAACTTTATTTGTTCAAATCCTTTTGCCATTAAGTTATTAAACAGCTAAACAGCTCAGTGACGTGAAATGGAGAGAACGCAACAGCTTCTGTATCAATATTTTAAAATAAAAACTGACAAATCATGGGCCCTAGTCCCGAATAGATAAGTAATTGTCAATTGATAGCCACCGGCCACGGAATTGGCAGCTTCTAGAATAACGGAATGTTCGTTAATTTATTAAAAAAATAAAAACAAGGTTGCACGGTATCGAATTTAATCTTAGGCCTAAATACTTAACATCATCATTTTACACGTATGATTCTACAGCCATTTCAAAATATCGGCTGAAACAATACATAATAAGCGTATGAAGTTGAATAGTACAGTTGGAACAAACAAGTCTCTCTTTGGGATCATTCAATAGCCGTGAAAAAAGGTGGACTTCTTATAGAGGCTTTCAATAGCAATTTATGTACAATTGTATGGTGCATACAAAATGAAGGGTATTTAAAATTGACTCTTGTTATAGAGGTTCCACTCGATGTTAGCCATTAAGCGATTTGCAATTTTCCACTGAAATGTTTCTATGTAAAAACAATGGGTTGAAATATCAAACACATTGTCAGATGATCGTAGGCGTTAAAAAATTCCAAATCATAGGTGAGAAGAAATGTGAAATTTTACCGAAGGACGTCGGCAGAGCGACTGGACCTGCGCCCGATGACTGTAGCCACAGATAAGTAAGGAACTACTCACTGTATGCCTACCTTATTTCCATGTGGTGTCGCTAGCGCAACCGGAAATCCATTAAACGTACAACTTCACTACATAGGAGAGGACAAGGACAGGAAACTGACAGAGCAGTTTCTATGAACGCTTTATGTGGTTTCAAGAATAAACTTCTTATCTGTGATGCGACTGATGTGACTGACCTGTTACGTGACGGTACTGACGTGTGAATTCAGGTTAATTAGTACAAAACTGGACCAAGCTGTCCTCAATTACAGTCTTCGCAGCTTATATTTTTTTAAACCACAGAAACAAAGCTGTCATAATGGTTCATTTAAGAATGATCCTTTAGTCACTCATCTTTTCCTGTCTGGTACACATGCAGACGATACAAAAACACAAATTGTTATCAATCCGTTAATAAAGTAGGTATTTTTATAACAAGTCTAAAGAAACTGTTTCCCAAGCTCACAAACTTAGCGCAAGGGAAAACGATCGGCTAATTTTCCCTTAATTTACTTTTCTTTACTCTCAATCAGTTCACCAGTTTCCCTACGTGCGCTAGAGTTAGTTTTACAATTTATTTTTTGTTGAAATCACCTCTTTTACTGTTTAGTGATACAAATTAGATCATAAATATGCATAAGCTAGTTTTGCTCTGACTGTAGCTTGTAGTGCGTGTTTACTGCACAATTAACATAAACTTGAACTAGAACTTTTAGTGTTACGTTGTAGGTTTGATTTAAGATTTTTTTCTTTTATTATTAGGAAATATAATAGTTTTAATTTTACTTCGTTCTCCAATTCAGTATGTCAGTATTATTGCGTCGTGGTGAAAAAAAGTATCGTCCATAACTTAAAGCGAAAGTGATTTCCGGCACTTCAATTATTACCATATGCTCGGCTTCGCCCCGCACGTGAAATTGGGTATTCCTGAGTTCGAATTGCCTTTCGCATAAAACTTTGCGCACCAAAAAATGTCATTTTCAGTGCTAGTAATGAAATATAGGCCTTCTATTTTTCGATTTCGTGTAATCTAATCTAAAAGCTTCACTTTC